TATATTTGTAGATATTTGGTACTGGGTGAACATATAGTACTTGCTGTTTGAAATTCTGTCGCTGTTCATGTGCAACCTGGGCATAAGTAAGTGGTTTCGGAAATGTGTACTATAATTGTACGAGAAATACTAAATAGTACTTTATTTGGTTGAACAGATAATTCTTTGGTACTGGGGTCGTTGTTCATGTGTAACTTCGACATATGGAGGTGGTTTCGGAAATGTGTACTTTTATTGTACAAAAATTGGTATTGGGTGTCGGGATGGGTCAGGAGTCCTCAATTTTTATACACTCCACCATACATAGTATGGAGGGTATATTAAGTTCGTCATTCCGTTTGTAACTCATCGAAATAATCATTTTAGACCCAACAAAGTATTTGTATTCTTAATCAGATTAAAATTCTAAGACGATTTAGCCCTGTCCGTCCGTCTGTCCTTCTGTTGTAATCACGCTACAGTCAAAACGAATTAAGATAGGAAGCTAAAATTTTGCACATATCTCTCTTTTGTCTGCAGGCAGGTCAAGTTCAAAGATGGGCTATATAGGCTCAAGATATCGTATAGCCCCCATATAACGGTACCCCCGATATTCGGTATTTTGATGATGTTAGCCATATTTTTCAATGAAATTGTCTTAAAATCCACACAAGGAGTTCCTTGTGGGTACTTTATACATCAGCAGAGAATTATCTATATAGGTCCACAATCGTCTGAAATTCCACACAAGGAGTCTCTTATGGGTATTTCACACCCTGAAAGAAAATTGTCTATATAGGCTCACGATATCGTATATCCCCCATATAACGGTACACTCCGATATTCGGTATTTTGATGATTTCAGCCACATTTTTCAATGGTATTGTCTGAAATTCACACAAGGGATTCTTTGTGAGCACTTTAACACCAGAAAGGGATTTGTCTATATAGGTCCACAATATGATATATCCCCCATATAACGGTACCCCCGATATTCGGTATTTTGATGATTTTAGCTATATTTTCCAATGGTATTATATGAAAATCCACGCAAAGAGTTCCATGTGAGTACTTTACCCCCAGACATAGATCTGTTTATATAGGTCCACAATATCGTATATTCCCCCATATATCGGCACCTTCCGATATTAGGTATTTTAAAGATTTTAACAGAATTTTCAATGGATTTTATTTTTTTTTGAAAATTTTCTAATTCGTTCAAAATTGTGGAGGGTATTTAAAGTTCGGCCCGACCGAACTTACTGCTTTCTTACTTGTTTATATTAAGGTCTCTGGAATTGAGACATAGAGGTGGTTTTAAAATGAGTACGAAAAGTACTAATTGATATTGAGGTTTCAGCTGGTATCTGGTGTTGAGATCTGGTGGAGGTTTTGTAAATACGTACTAAAAGTGCATCAGAAAAGTTATAAATGGTAGCATGAGTACTAACAAGTGCACGAAAAGTACTTCATAGCACCATATTTGGTACAATTTGATATTGGGTGAAGAGATAGTGCTTGAAATCTGAAATTTGGTATTAGGGCCGCTGTTCATGTGTATCCTCGACATATGGAGGTTGTTTGGAAATGTGTACCTTAATTGTACGAAATGTACTTATTGGTTCTTTATTTAGGTGAATGGATAGAGATAAAATTCAGAAATTTGATATTTAAATTATTGATTGTATCCGGGTTTGAAATTTGACGGTGGTTTTGGAAATGTGTACTATAATTCCACTAATAATACTAAATGGTACTAAATTTGGCATTGTCTGAGAGATTGGGCTGGAATCCTCAAACTTGATATTGAGGTCTCTGTGGGTATCTGGGATTGAGATATGGAGGTGTTTTATTTTAGATGTGTACTATAACTGTACGAAAAGTACGAATGGTACTATATTTGATATTGGTTCAAAGGATAGAGATAACATTTTGAAATTAGATATTTAGATTACTGATTGTATCTGGAATTGAGATATGGAGGTGGGTTTTTGGAAATATGTACTAAAATTGTACAAAAAGTACAAAGTGGTACTAAAGATGGTATTGGGTGAAGGGATAGAGCTGGAATCCCGAAATTTGATATTAATGTCTATGTAGGGTATCTGACATTGATATATGGGGATGGTTTTGGAAATATATACGAAAAGTACCAATTAGTACTAAATTTACAGGATAGGTCTAAAATCCTCAAATCTGATATTGAGGACTCTGTTTATATCTGGTACTGAGATGTGGTGGGGGTTATGGAAATGTGTACTATAATTGCACGAAAAGTACTAATTAGTACTAAATTGGGTGAAAAAATTGAGTTGGAATTTTTAAATTCGATATTGAGATCGCAGTTGATATCTTGCGTGGAAATCTGGTACTAAATCTACGTACTAAAAGTGCAACTTCGAAAAGTACTAAATGGTACCAATTTTTGATTGACTGTTTTTGATTAGAATGGAGAGATGTAGATTGTTTTGGATATGCATTCTAAAAGTTACTAAATTTTATATTTGGTAAAATCCTGAAATGTTATATACAGATTGCTGATGGTATCTGGAATTGATACATGCAGGTGTTTTTGGAAATATGTACTAAAATTGTACAAAAAGTACTAAATGGTACCAAAGTTGGTTTTGGGTGAAGGGATAGAGCTGGAATCCCGAAATTTTATATTGAGGTCTTTGTTGGTATCTGAAATTGAGATGTGGAGGGGGTTTTACAAATGTGTACGAAAAGTACCAATTCGTACTAAATTTGGTATTGGGTGAAGGAATAGAACTTGGAAACATGAAATTTAATATTGAGGTTTCTGTTGGTATCTGGAATTGAGATTTAGAAGTGGTTTTATAAAATAATAAATATACGCTAAAATTGTACGAAAAGTACTAAATAGTACTAAAGTTGGTATTGAGTGAAGGGTAGAGATGGAATCCTGAAGTTTTATATTGAGGTCTCTGTTGGTATCTGGAATTGAGATATACTAATAGTTTTTGAGAATATGTACTAAAATTTAACAAAAAGTACTTAAACTGGTATTGGGTGAAGAGATAGAGCTGGAATCCCGAAATTTGACATTGAGGTCTCTGTTGGTATCAGGAATTGAGATGTGGAGGAGGTTTTACAAATGTGTACGAAAAGTACCAATTCGTACTAAAATTGGGATATGGTGAAGGAATAGAACTGAAATCCTCAAATTTGATATTGAGGTCTCTGTTGGTATCTGGGATTGAGATATGGAGATGATTTTTGAGAATATGTACTAAAATTGTACGAAAAGTACTAAATGGTACTAAAGTTGGTATTGAATGAAGGGATAGAGCTGGAATCCCGAAATTTGATATTGATGTCGCTATTGGTATCTGGAATTGAAATGTGGAGGGGCTTTTAGAAATGTACCAATTGGTACTAAATTTGGTATTGGTTGAGAGAATAGAACTGGAATCCTCAAATTTTATATTGAGGTCTCTGTTTGTATCTGGAATTGAGACTTGGAAGCGGTTTTTCGAAATACACACTAAAATAGTACGAAAACTACTTAGTGGTACTAAAGTTGGTATTGGGTGAAAGGATAGAATTGATATTGAGGTCTATGATGATATCTGAAAATGAGGTTTCTGTTGATATCTGGAAATAAGATCTCTTATGAATTTGGATTCTAAGTCGATTTATGCATGTCCGTCCGTCCGTCTGTCCATGTATTTTTGTAAACAAAGTACAATTCGCATTTATTGTCCTATCCAGATGAAGTTTGGCACAAATCATTTGTTTGGCCCAAGGACGAACCCTATTGAAATTGGAGATAATCGGTCAAAATATAGATATATCTCCCATATATATCTTCGTCCGATTTGCCTTTTATTGTATTTTTAGGCCTGAAAGTAAGTATGTCAAATTTGATCGAAATCGGTTCAGATATAACTATAGCTCCCATATATATTGTTCATCCGATTTGTTATTTTTGTCATCCGCAGCCGTAATATGCACTCTGTAACAAAAATAATTTGGGAAATATATCAAATACAACTCAGAAATACATTTGCTAAATTTTATCGAGATTGGTTCAGATTTGGATATATCTCCCATACATAACTTCGTCCGATTTACCTTTTATTGTGCACCAAACGTCTAATATTTGTCCAAATGGGATGGAATTTGCCACTTACCACCGAATTGAGTCTAGAAGCTAGTATGCCATGTATGTTGGTGAAAATCGGTTCAGATATAGCTATAGCTCCCATATATACTGTTCATCCGATTTGTTATATTTGTTACCCACAGTTGTAATATGCACTCCGTAACAACGATTTTCAGGGAAAAATATCTAATACAGCTCAGAAATATCTTTGCCGAATTTTATGGAGATCGGTTCCGATTTGGACATAGCTCCCATACATATCTTTATCTGGTTTCAAATTAATTGTGCACCAAATGGGTAATACAAGTCCGAATTTAAAAGATATAAATGTTTCGGCATATGCAGTCCTTTGAACTTTAAATTATAATCAGGAGCTCTACTAAATTAGCAAAGTGGTGTAGGGTATCATAAAGTCAGCCCGCCCGACTTTAACACTTTCTTTACTGGTTTAAATATGGCTTAAAACTCCATTTAAACGTGGTGGTAGCAAGTGGGTGGTAGCAAAAATTGTTTGTCATAAATTTCTACTGTAGGTCTTGGAACATCTCAAGGGTCTAAATCTTACCTAAACGTCAGGAAATCATAAATATATTAAAATACATTTTTAAGTTTGAAGACTTACTTTCGGTGAGTTTGGGCAAAAATCTCCAACAAATCATTTTATAAGTAAACGATGAAAGACAAAAATATTCTGCATCAAATTTTACTATAAGTCACCAAAGAAAAGAAATCTCTAGTTCCCTTGTATGCCAAAATAATTTTGCATCAATGTTCCGAAAAAAAAACCGAAAATAGGTCTAATTTTTCTTTTATCAAATTTTATAAATCTCCCTAAATTCCCAAAACTTCCCTTCTCCCAAAATGAGAATGAAAAACACATTCTTAATTATATTTCAATTCGCTTTAATTTTATTCTGATTCGAATTCGCACCACCACAAACGTGTTTCATCAACAAGCGGCACACTACAATTAACAACTTAAGAACAGCAACAAAAACAACAAACAATATTAAATAAACATCAATATTGTGATACTGAATAAAATTCAATTCCACCCCGGCATTACGCATATGCACCGCTCCCTCATGCCTTAACACATATTCCGTCCAATAGATGGCAGTTTCCAGCGGTGTTAATGGCGTATCTCGAAACTGTTTTGAACGTTGCTGGACATTTTGGGTGTAAACTGGATTTGTTAACAATTCTAGAATTGTTTTCCTCAACGTTTGCGGTGTAACCTGATCCAGACTGAGGCTCAAGGCATAGCCAGCCTTGACAGCATTTTTAACATTCATAAATTGATCTCCAAGCAGAGGTATACCCAATATGGGTTTGCCATGATATATGGTCTCCGTGGTACTCAGATAGCCACCATGGGATATAAACAACTTGACATTGGGATGGGCCAGCACAGAGGGTTGGGGAAACCATTTGCGGGTTATAACATTTCCCGGCTTATTCGGTAGATTGTCCTCCTCAAATTTCCACAAAATTGTGTATTTCAGATTTCGAAAGGCTTCAAGGAACATTTGTATTTTTTGTGCCGATAAATCCTTGCTTTTGATATTCGAACCCAAGGAAAAGTAAATAACTCCATTCTCCGCTTTGTCGAGTAATTCCTGTAAATCTTGGGGCAAAGGATCTGGTTGACGTTTTATGTGCAATCCACCCACCTCAATCATATTGGGTACATAAGGCCTTGCAGAACGTAGGGTAAAATGATCATTCAACAACACCAGCGAAACATTTCGTCGAGCTTCTTCCAAGGACAGCCTGGCATTGGGAAAATACTTTCCATACAACTCCTCTTGAAAGGGAAGCATGACAAAATTGAAATTCAAATCATCCAAAGTTTGCATTACAACATTGCCGATTCTTTCCATAAGCGACATTCGATTACCATATGGCAGGGCCAAATGCGGTATATAGGATAAGGGTGAGGGATTTCGAACTAAATCATCCATGAAATTTATGGTACCAAAAGTGGAAACAGTTATCACTGGGGCTTTGAAATGTTCTGCCAATCCCAACAGTGCTTCGGAGAAAAATATCTCCACAATCAGCAAATCGAAGTGTTCCTCGGCCATCATCTGCCTTACTTCTGCATTTTCCAGGATATTGGTGACCATAGCTTTGCCGGTTAAAGCTAGATTCATAAATTCGGAGAAGTAGGATTTTTCAGCACCTCCAGCGAAATCGGTGAGCATTTCTGAAATGAAGAAGAATGAATGATGAATTAGGAATAGGTGATGAAATAGGAATAGGAAGAGATCTATAAAAGACCTTTCGAAAGGTACTTTACGCACGAAATCGGTACAAAATATATTTTTCTGGAGGTTTCAAAATGCCTGATACGATAGAAGACTTTTTTTTTGTTGAAGAAGAATTTTCTTCTTCTATAGAAGGTATTCTAGTAAAAATAACTTTTCAGAAAATCTTCTACAGAAGATGGCCTCCAAAAAGTTCTCCAAGAGAAAGAAATCCTTTCAGAAGATTTTCCATAGAGGCAAACCTCTCAGCATGTCTTCAATGGAGGAAGACTTCGCAGGTGGACAGAATATAACCTCTCAGAAGGTATTATATTAAAGAAGATCTCTGAACTCTGACACCTCTCAGAAGGTCTTTTATGGAATAAGTCTTCTCACATGGTAATCAAGACATTTCAGTGGGTCTTTTGTAGAAGAAGATCTTTCAGATGGCCCTCTGTGGAAGAAGACTTCTTGGATGATCTTCTAAGACGTCCGAACGCCTTCTACGGAAGAAGACCTCTCAAAAGGTCTTCTATCGAAAAAGTCCTCCCAGAAGGTCTTCTACCGAAGAAGTCCTCCCAGAAGGTCTTCCATAAAAGAAGACCTCTTAAAAAGTCTTCTATAGAAGTCGACCTCTCAACAGATCTTTTATTGAAGAAGGCCTTTCAGATTGACTTCTTTGGAAGAAGATTGCTCAGAAGGTCTTTTATAAAAGAAGTTCTCTAAGAAGGTCTTCTATGGACAAAATACCTCTCACAAGGTTTTATATGGAAGAACAGCTCTTATAAGGTCTTCTATCGAAGAAGACTTCTCAGAAAGGCTTCTATCGAACAAGACCTCTCAGAAGGGCTTCCATGGAAGTACAGCTATCAGAAGGTTTTCTATTGAAGATGAGCTCTCAGGAAATTGTCTACAGAAGAAGATTTCACAGAATATATTTAGTAGAAGAATACCTTCCAGATGGGCTTCCATAGAGGAAGTTCCCTCTGTGGGTCTTCTGTAGAAGAAGAAGATCTCTCAAAGGATCTACTATGGAAGAGGACTCTCAGGAGGTGTTCTATGGAAGAAGACCTCTCAGAAGGTCTTCTATAGATGATGAACTCTCAGAAGGTCTTCTATAGCGGAAGGCCTCCCAGAAGATCTTGTATTGGAGAAGACTCTCTAAGATGGTCTTTTATAGAAGAAGACCGCTCAGAAGGTCTTCAGTAGAAAAATACCTTTCAGATGGTCTTCCGTAGTAGTCTTGTGTAGAAGAAGACATCTCAGAAGAGCTCCTCTTGTGTGAGAATCACTAAGGAAGCCCTTTGAAAAATAAAATACTTCAATAGATCTCCTATAAAAAAGAAGGTCTTCTGTTAGAGAAACCATGCCCAAAGGTCTCCAATACTCAAATATCTTTCAGAAAATCTTTTTCCGAATGTTTGCTTTGGAAGAAGATGTTTTCCGAAGGCCTTCCAAGAAAAAAGATCTTTCCGAAGACCTTCTATAGAATATCACCTTTTTGAGGGTAAACTCTCGAACTAAACCGTTCAATAAATTCTTCTATGAAGGAATTTTTTTTGAATTTTTCCAAAAAGAAGAGTTTTTCTGGAAAGGACTTTCATGGAAGAACACTTTTCTTGATAACTGAAGGTTCTCTCTAGAAGAAGACATTTCAAAAGACGTTCCATGGCAAAAACCAGAGGTTTTCTTTAGAATAGCACATTTCGAAAGATTTTTCAGAGAATAAACCTTTTTATAGGTCAATAGGTGATCTGAGGTCATATGTACTCCAGACCCAAGTTCTTCCATTTCCGAAAAGAAGACCATTTTTGTATAGAAGAACCGGGGACTTTTATTTTCCTTAAGAAGATCTGTGGTCTACTATTTTTGTATAGAGAACCTGAGGTCGTCCATAGTCGTATAGATCTTGTGCTTTCAATTTTACTCACGTTCAAACAGCTTCGAATTTTCCATAACAGCTACATCTCGAAAATTTTCCACCGGTTCCTTTTGGGGAAATGTTGAAATGGAGACAACTTCATGGCCCCTTTTGGCCAATGCCTTTAGCAGCGGTGTTATGAAAATATATTGTGATGGTCCGGGATAACCGAATATGGAGAGGATTTTTGCAGCATTGCCTAGGTTGTGGAATGTTGACGTAATTAATAAAAGCCAGGCAATGACTAGCGTATTACAGTACTTCATGCTTGCACCGAGAATGCAAGTGAATAGTAGAACGATAAATAGAAAACTGAGAGGTTAGATGTTAGAACAAAAGCTTTTTGTTTAAATAAAAATAAATTAAGAAAACGGCAGATGTCATTACTGTCTGAGAGAGGGAGAAAGTACACAAATTTAGATGTTTACATTACCCTAATGCTAGTAATTTAGAAAGAAGCGGGAGGAAGCAGCGGAAAATGCATATGGGTTGAATTTGTTGTACCCTGCACAATACATTGAGGGAAATGGGGAGATAACCTCAGCAAGTATTTACAAATATTTACAAACGAGAGGAATATTGACGATAACAGTATCGAAGAGGCTGATATGGGATTATGCATTGGAAATACTTACATTGAAATGAAACCCATACCGATGACCTATTCAAAGCCATGGCATAATTTAAATAGTTTTTGTAGGAATTTTGTCAGGATTTCATAAATCGAACCACTATTTTCCTCCTCTCTCAAAAAGTATTTATAAGAGGTGTTTCCACTAAAAATAAGTCATCTTAAAGAGTCCATCTACGGACTCCAGGGCCTTCAAAACACCTTTTCCCATCATACTATGCCACATAAAAATGGCAAACCATATTATGACACCACAGTATAATAAGAGATCAACAGGAGACCATGAGAGAGAAGAAGACATTTTTCTTGCGGTTTCCTTTAACTCATGAAAGTTTGCCGCTAAGGGTCCCAAAGGATTGGCACTTCCGAATATCCTCTACAGAAGAAGGTTTCTATTGATAATTTTCTATTGAGGAAGTCGTTTCAGACGGATTTCTATGGATGCAAACCCCTCAGATTGTCTTCAATGGATCTCTCAGGTGGACAGATGAAGATCTCTCAGAAGGTCTTCTATGGAAGAACACCTATCAGAAGATTTTCTATGGAAGAACACCTTTTAGAAGATTTTCTACGGAAGAGTACCTCTCAGATGGTCTTTTATGGAAGAAGACATCTCAGAAGGTTTTCTATGGAAGAAAACCTCTCTGAGGGTTTTCTATCAAAGAACAGCTCCCAGAATGTCTTCTATGGAAGAGGACCTCTCAGAATCTTCTAAGGAAGAAGACTTCTCAAAAGGTCTTATATAGAAGAGAACCTTTCAAAAGATCTTCTATGGAAGAGGACTTCTCCGGTGATATTCTATGGAAGAATAGCTCTCAGAAGGTCTTCTTTGAAAGAAAAGATCTCAGAAGGTCTTCATTAGAAAAATGCCTTGCAGATGGTAATTCATAGAGGAAAGTCTCTCTGTGGGCCTTCTGTAGAAGAAGAATACTTCTCAGAAGGCATTCTATGAAAAATGACCTCTCAGAAGGTCTTTTGTGGAAAAAGAACTCTCAAAAGATCTTCTCTAGAGGAGGACATGTCAGAAAGTCTTCTTTAGAGGAAGGCCTTACAGAAGATATTCTATAGAGGAACGCATTTCAGAAGGTCTTCTATAGAGAAAGGTCTCTCAGATGGCATTATATGAAAGAAGACCTCTCAGAAGGTCTTTTGAAGAAGAAAACCGTTTAGAAGGTCGTCGGTGGAAGAAGATATTTCAGAAGGTCTTTTTTTGAAGTGAACATCTTAGAAGGTGTTCTCTAGACGAAATCTTCTCAAAAGTCTTCCATAGAAGAAGACGTTCCATAGACGACAGAAAGAGAAAGGATAGTCCTATTTTGCTCCAACTATTTTGAATAACTAAAACAATCAAAAAATGCGAACCAAGTTCTTAAGTTCTTTTTCATATTTCACACATTCCATTATTTCTACTAACAAAAGATCTGCTCTTCCCTTGGTACCTCCACCACAAAGGGTCAAAATTTTCAACACCCATGAAGAACATAAAACGCGAAATTGACAGCCGCATGCATTTAGACTTGGCACATGTGAAAATTTCCAATCAACACAAGAACTGTTATAAAGATGTTCGAGATCGGACCATTTCTTCTGGTACCTTTCCCCACAAAGGGTCAACAAGTTGAAGTTCATAAAACGGAAAATGAACATCCTATTCCATTCAGACTTGGTACATCTCAATATTTTCATGAACACAAGATCTGTTATAAAGGTGGTCGGAAGAGATCGGAACTTTCCTTCGATTACTTTCCCCACAAGGGACATTTTTCAACCTTTTGATGATGTCAAAGAAACAAAAATTATTAGCTTTAACTTTAGTACGACAACAAAAGCACCAACGGACCAAAAGGACCAACAGAAACGTGGATTTTTTTAAGAATATTTTTTCAAGGACCAACAGAAACCTGGATTTTTTAAAGAATATTTTTTCTAGGACCAAAGTTTCATCAAACCTCGATTTTTTAAAGAATATTTTTTCAAGGACCAAAGGATCATCAAACCTGGATTTTTTAAAGAATATTTTTTTAAGGACCAAAGGATCATCAATCGTGGATTTTTTGAAGAATTTTTTTCAAGGACCAAAGGATCATCAATCGTGGATTTTTTAAAGAATATTTTTTCAAGGACCAAATGATCATCAATCGTAGATTTTTTAAAGAATATTTTTTCAAGGACCAAAGGATCATCAATCGTGGATTTTTTAAAGAATATTTTTTCAAGGACCAAAGGATCATCAATCGTGGATTTTTTAAAGAATATTTTTTCAAGGACCAAAGGATCATCAATCGTGGATTTTTTAAAGAATATTTTTTCAAGGACCAAAGGATCATCAATCGTGGATTTTTTAAAGAATATTTTTTCAAGGACCAAAGGATCATCAATCGTGGATTTTTTAAAGAATATTTTTTCAAGGACCAAAGGATCATCAATCGTTGATTTTTTAAAGAATATTTTTTCAAGGACCAAAGGATCATCAATCGTGGATTTTTTAAAGAATATTCTTTCAAGGACCAAAGGATCATCAATCGTGGATTTTTTAAAGAATATTTTTCCAAGGACCAAATGATCATCAATCGTGGATTTTTTAAAGAATATTTTTTCAAGGACCAAAGGATCATCAATCGTGGATTTTTTAAAGAATATTTTTTCAAGGACCAAAGGATCATCAATCTTGGATTTTTTTAAAGAATATTTTTTCAAGGACCAAAGGATCATCAATCGTGGATTTTTTAAAGAATATTTTTTCAAGGACCAAAGGATCATCAATCGTTGATTTTTTAAAGAATATTTTTTCAAGGACCAAAGGATCATCAATCGTGGATTTTTTAAAGAATATTTTTTCAAGGACCAAAGGATCATCAATCTTGGATTTTTTTAAAGAATATTTTTTCAAGGACCAAATGATCATCAATCGTGGATTTTTTAAAGAATATTTTTTCAAGGACCAAAGGATCATCAATCGTGGATTTTTTAAAGAATATTTTTTCAAGGACCAAAGGATCATCAATCTTGGATTTTTTTAAAGAATATTTTTTCAAGGACCAAAGGATCATCAATCGTGGATTTTTTAAAGAATATTTTTTCAAGGACCAAAGGATCATCAATCGTGGATTTTTTAAAGAATATTTTTTTCAAGGACCAAAGGATCATCAATCGTGGATTTTTTAAAGAATATTTTTTCAAGGACCAAAGGATCATCAATCGTGGATTTTTTAAAGAATATTTTTTCAAGGACCAAAATAAACGTGGATTTTTTAAAGATTATTTTTTTTTGAGGACCAAAATAAACGTGGATTTTTTAAAGAATATTTTTTCAAGGACCAAAATAATATCACATCTGTATACTAGATATTGTTCTGTTGGAAATATAAGGATGTTCCATGTTAGAAAAGAATCGTATTCACATTCAGCCTTTTATGAGCATCATAATCATTAAAAATGTTGACCCGTTGTGAGGGAGGTACCGGATAGAGTGCTCTGTTCCATATGTTCTTGATACCAGATGTTGGGTTGATCAAAGAATTTGGATGTATGAAATTTAAAGACCCAGGGACACTTATTTCGTATTTTAAAAGGCAGACGATTATTCAAAATTTTGACCTGTTGTGGGAGAGGTATCAGAAGAAGGGGTCCCATATATTTTATATCCACAGCAGATATTGCGTTGATAAAAAAATATTAAATTGTGAGAAAATTAAAGGAAATCGGGCTCTTATTTCACATTTTAAAAGACTTATAATTACTCAAAATTTAAAATTTTGACTCTTTGTAGGGGACGTACTTGTCGGAGTGAGCCGATATAGTCAATTTTAAACTTGACCTAAAAATATTGAAATTTCCAAATTTTGCTTAAGATAGGATTATCCTTTCTTGTTCTATAAAGTAAATTATTTTCTGTGAAAATTTTGGCCTTCCGTGGGGTGGGTACCAGAAGCAGAAGTTCCCAAAATTCCCTTTTTCCAATTAGAATAAAAATCAGTACCTTAATTTTATTTCAATTCGCCTTAATTTTCTTCGGATTCGAATTCGCACCACCACAAACGTGTTTCATCACCAAACGGCACACTACAATTAAGATCTTGAGAATAGCAACAAAAACAACAAACAATATTAAATTAACATCAATATTATGATATTGAATAAAATTCAATTCCACCCCGGCATTACGCATATGCACCGCTCCCTCATGCCTTAACACATATTCCGTCCAATAGATGGCAGTTTCCAGCGGTGTTAATGGCGTATCTCGAAACTGTTTTGAACGTTGCTGCACATTTCGGGTGTAAATTGGATTTGTTAACAATTCTAGAATTGTTTTCCTCAATGTTTGCGGTGTAACCTGGTCCAGACTGAGGCTCAAGGCATAGCCAGCCTTGACAGCATTTTTGACATTCATAAATTGATCTCCAAGCAGTGGTATACCCAATATGGGTTTACCATGGTATATGGTCTCCGTGGTACTCAGATAGCCACCATGGGATATAAACAACTTGATATTCGGATGGGCCAGCACGGAGGGTTGGGGAAACCATTTGCGGGTTATAACATTCCCCGGCTTATTCGGTAAATTGTCCTCCTCAAATTTCCACAAAATGGTGTATTTCAAATTGCGAAAGGCATCAAGGAACATTTGTATTTTTTCGGCAGATAAATCTTTACTCTTTACATTCGAACCCAAGGAGAAGTAAATAACTCCA